CAACTCCCTCCTGTCATCAACAGTGGTTTTTACAGCATTTAAGCCGGATGACATCCATAAAAATGGCACAAAAACAAGATTGCGCCCAATTTTATGACTTTTTACACTAGCTATTGCAGTTACTTGTGGTAGGTAATTATTTTGCTTGAATTTAGTGAGTTATTTTTTTCCAAATGAGAGTGTTCAATATACGAAAGACCATCGTATTCTACTGAATCTGAACAACAAGAAGCTTTAGTTTATCTGTGCCGTTCAATGCCACGAATGAAATAACGGCCCAAAAATTAGTCAGGTATGTCAACGCTGCGCTCCTCGAATTGTGAAAACAGCGTGTTTGCCAGGTTACACAATATAGGTACCTACTTACCTTTAGAATAAGATAAACGATTAGATTTTAAACATCAGCTTCAGCATTAAACCGCCAACGTTAACCGGTTCGGCGATAAACGCTGCAATATCATATTTTATTCATATTTTATTCAATTATAATTGATAGCCAGTAAAATAATTGTTTTAGTGGTCAAGCGTTGTTTATTTATAACTTCAACGGGTCGGCTCAGGCATACTTACGTGGTGCGTACATACCTACTGGTATGTGAGCGATAGCGTGCCTTTTTTCGCTGAGCCGTCCCCGAGACAGTCGACTATATGAGGGAAGTGACGCCGTCTGCCTGCGCCCGCAAATCACAAAGCGCAGTCATAAAACTGTTATAGACGTACTTTTACTACGTGGCTGATGAGCAATGGCTCCTTCCCGCCATTTTCGACGCAGTTTCAGCTGGTGTTCTCATGGAATGGCGCCTCGCAGACGATTCCGACGCAGTTTCGTGAGCCTCGGGTGGCGCGGAATGGCGCAGCGTGCCTGATTTCGGCGCAGTTGGGCCCGCGGCCGGCGTCGATTGGTGTGAGGCCGTGTTCGGGCGCCATCGAGGTGTGGCCTGGCCGGCCCAGCTGCACGTGCGGCGCCCTTTAATCCGGCGATATCGGCCGGCCGGGGGAGCACACCTCTCGGGGTGACTGCAGGCTGGCCGTCGGACAGACGGTCGGACCGGCCGACACATCGCCGCTCGGTGGCTGTCGGCTTAGCGCGCGCCGGTCGGCCTCTCACCTGTATAAGGCGTGACAGACGGGCGCGGCGGCGCCCCGCTCCGCACGATTGAAATTGATCTGCGGCACGGCCGACCGCGCATTGTTCCCACCGGCACAATCCTCACGGATGCAAATGGGCCGGCGGCCGTGGCGGTGCTCCCTTTGTTGGCACGTCGTGAGCACACCGCGCCGCCGGCCGCCTAAACCGATTAGCCGCGATTACAAAGGCGACAAGCCGGCGCGGCGGTCAGCCGACAGTGCGACACGACCGGCCGACGGGGCGGGGCCGACGGACAGCGAGTCACATGGCCCCGTCCCTGCCGCGGGCCGCTGCCGGGACCTGTAAGCCGGGGATTAGGGCCGGCCCACAATGGAACAGACACCGACACCGACATCCACACTTGACACCGGCCCCTGGTCAGAGCGGCAGTGATAAGTGGCCATTGACCACAGGTTAGTGGTCAGATTCTGGTCGGTGATCCGTTCACCTCGCAGTTTGATATACAAGGTCCTACCGACCTATAGGCATTCTATCATCTTCGTGTGCATTTTTAGGCTCCTTTTCTTTAGTCTTTTCATTGCATCCAGGATATCCCCATTTCACATTCCCGTCAAAGTTCAAGTCTATCGTACTCCACGTTCCCGGCGAAGCTATGACGATGTGCCATGAATGGTGCCGTCCATCTGTTCCTGTCACGTCCACAGCCCAGTGGGTCAGATTCGGGTCACAGCACACCTCACGCCGTGACCCGGTGTTGGGTGCTGACCCTCCCCTCAGCACGCCGGTCGTCTGAGCTCGCTCGGCTGCAGCTCTCGGCGGGGTTCGCGGCGCTCGCACCCCCCGTCTGCAACAGCGCCATAGCAGCGCGGTCCGAGGGAGGCACCCCAGCACCTCGTCCTCACAGCACCGCCCCAACCAGCCGCCCACCGCCGCGCTCGCGCAATTGAGATTAATTTGTAATCGTGTGTAGCCGAGCGACCATTTTCTCATCGTTACCGGCGGCGCTGCAGTCGGCGCGGCATTCAACACCGCCGGCCGGCCGCACTAATGGCATGCCTAATTAATTACCGACGGCCGGGCGGCCTAGATACTGTCGACTCGCCGTCCATACTGATAGGGGCAGGCCAGAGATGGCTGCTGCTCGGATAACCTCCGGGAGGCGCCGGCTGCCTGGCGTGACCTGCAGTCGGTCAGGAGGCGCCGGCTGCCTGAGAGGACCTGCCGTCGATTAGGAGGAGGGACTGGCTGCTTCACTTGACCTGCAGTCGGGCAGCAGGCACTGGATGCCTGGCGTGACCCGCAGTCGGTCAGGAGGTACGTACAGGCTGCCTGGCGTGACCTGCAGTCGATCAGGAGGAGGCATTGGCTGCCTGAGAGGACCTGCCGTCGGTTAGGAGGAGGCACTGGCCACTGGATGCCTGGCGTGACCTGCCATGAGGAGAAGGTACCGGCTGCCTGGCGTGACCTATCGACGGTCAGGAGGAGATACAGCCTCCAGACGGCGTCGGCTTTCTGCTGTGGCCGTCTCTGATGTGACCTGTCGTTGGTGACGCACAGTCAGTGGGGTTAGGTCAGTCCAGGAGGCAGTCACTCTCCAGAAGGTGCCGACTGTTGGTCTGCGACTGTCTCTTACGTGATCTGTCGTCGGTCAGTCATGATCAGATGACGCTCGGCGCACAACCGACCTCACATAGTTGAGGATTGGTTCTTCAGGCCATTTGCATTGTCCAGACTATGGGTGACGGTACGGGTATATGCGCGGATGTTGGTGTGCCTGGTTCGAGCGCCTGGTTCGAATGACGGGTACGAGTTGACTGAATTCGGATGGTGTGCTATCGTCTGAGGCCTCAGTCATCCGGACCCGAAGTTTATGAGATGTGCAGAGAAATTGTCTGAGCCACTCAGCCACCGTCCTGCGGTCGCCGCCGTCTTCCTTTTAATACAGTCGAGGACCGCAGCCAAGCGCTGATGCCGATTCTTGCTGCATCGGTAATGGATGTGAGATGTCGATTACGTTTTAACAGCCCACCCAGACATCTTACATGGATTGATCGGCCACTCGGCACGCTTAGCACATACCTGCGGTACCATTACGCGGATAGTTAATAACAATCGAGTTTGGACGGCTGTTTGGGACGGGAACATTCGCGAGGCGGCCGTGGCGGTCACTGGTCACTGTTCGCCACAGACGAGCGGATTAGAAATACCTACGTCTGTTGAATTCAGCTGCTCTGCAGATTCCAAATAGGCTCGCATGCTCCGGCATAGCGGCTGTAACCTATGAGTTCTACTTTCAACAGAATGTAGGTAGGTATAACTAACTGAATTTCTGGCATGCCCCAAGGTGCCATCAGATCAGCCCCTACTTCCGAGCTTGCCCGCAGTCGACCCACGGTGACATTGGTTCTATTTCTGGCCTACGTGGTGGGCTCTATCTAACGCCCCGTCCTATCACACGGTCAATATTGGTCCGCGGCGACGTCCTTCGGCTCCTCGGTTCCCGCCGCTCAGATACCGCGACTAGGACGTCCCCGGTGGCTACAGCAGCGCCTCTGGCGGCGGACGGCGGCAGCGGCGGCCCCAGATGGCGGTGACAGACCTCCCCGGCCGCCTGCGATGGTATCGCCTCCGATCTCACGCAGATACCATGATGAATACCTGAGTGCGGCGGGTCCACTGACTGCCGCCGGCCGGCCCGTGTGCTCAGCCGGCCAAACAAAGCCGACGCACAAGCGTGCTTGTCAGGGAGAGGCGTTTTTCCTCATGGCGAGGCGCCACAAATGTCAGGGCCCTGTCTCACTGCGTACCCACAGAGAAGACAGTGATGGGGAGGCAGTGGGTATGGGAGGCAGATGGGAAATAAAGGAAGGAGATGGAGCTGACAGAGTGGAAGAGGGAAAGCAACGGAAGGTGGAGGGAGAAAAGATATCTGGGACAATTGGATTATGGGTCGGAATTTGGTTCTCGAACGCCTGGACATGTGATGTACAGGTCTCGCGGGTTTTAGCGGTAGGTTTTGCACCTAGAAAATTTAGTGTACTTCAGGCTATATCTTCGTCGTCTTAAAGGGACACTCCCACCTTCAAAAAAGTTTATGAATTGGCATGAAAGTGATGTTGCTCGGTTCAGAAAGAGCGAAAACGAATATCTACCAAATTTCACCGAAAAATATTCACCGGTTTTCAAGATATTAGACTTTTACTTTTGTTTACTTTTTTGGGATCTCCGCTGTTTCTAGCGACTTTATTTTAGAAGTGCGGCATTTGCGGCAGATGTTGCGCGCAAAAAGCATATACCACCGCGTGCTGCAAAACGTTTTAGTCAAACATTTAAAAATCGTTAGATATTTGCGCTGACGTCACACATTCAGAGGGGTATTCCTAAGCATTAGCCCCTCTGAATCAAAATGCTGCAATTTTGAAATTCAATATTTCCGATTTAAGGCATTTCTCGATGTTGTGAGTGCCGAAACCGGTAATTGTGAGCCAGGGACCCCATTTTGGCTATCTCAACTCAAATCTAATGTTAAGGTGGGAGGGTCCCTTTAAGCTTTTAAGTGTTGAAGATGCGATCGAACTGTTGGGTAACAAGCCGGCCATGATCGTGTAAAATGGCTTCATCGTAGATCAATTAGTTTCTGAGATATAACCGGAAATGTAAAAGTGCAAAACCTACCGCTTAATCTCGCGAGACCTGTACGTACCTACCTAGATTGTAAAAGGTCATATATCGAACTCCCGTTGAACGCCGACATCCATTACGTGTACAGTGGTTGAGAGCCAGGAAATAGCGTCCTTATGCTGACTGTGTCTCGTTCAGTGACCTTACTGTCACTGTGTCTGCAGTGTGGGCCGTCCAAACTCCCCTCGGCGGTGTGGCTGAGTGCTGACGTCTCTCCGCTCGGTTTCAGAGTCGGTGACGCGCGGCCGGCACGGCGGCTGCTTCTCGGCCGACACGGAGGCGGTGCTGGCCGACGGCCGGCGGCGGCGGTTCGACCAGCTGCGCCGCGGAGACGTGGTGCTGGCTGTGGACGAGAGCGGCGCCCTGGTGGAGAGCGAGGTGATCCTGTGGCTGGACCGCGATCCGGCCGAGCGGCGACTCTTCTACCGGCTGAGCACGGCTGCCGGCCGCCGGCTGACCGTCACTCCCGGCCACCTGCTCTACGTGCTGGACGCCGAGAGCGCAGCGGCCGGCAACCACAGCGCCCACAGCGCCCGGATCACGTTCGTCAAGCACGTCATCGAGGGCGACTACGTGCTGGTGGCAGGCGCGGCCGGCGCGGTGACGGCCGAGCGCGTCACCGCCGTGGACCTTGTGCACGAGAGTGGCGTGTTCGCGCCCCTGACGCGGCACGGCACGCTGCTCGCTAACGGCGTGCTCGCCTCGTGCTACGCCATGGTGGACGACCAGCGGACGGCGCACGCTGCCTTCCTGCCCGTCCGCTGGGCCGTTAATGTGCGCGAGCTCACGCTGCACATGTTGGAACACTTTGGTGTGCGCGCTGCGGCGGCGGCGGCAGCGGCACGGTCGGCCGCCAGCGAGCCCACCTCGGGCGTGCACTGGTACGCCAGCTTTCTGTACGCGCTCTCCGACTATGTTTTGCCCCGTGATATGATGCTAAACTAGGCGGCGGCGGCGGCCGCGCGGGCGCAGTGCCACCGGACAGGGACCGAGTCGCTGCAGCCGCCGCTCAGCTGTGCATAGTGTACTTATCGATGTGAAAATAGCCGTCATGTGACGCGTTGTTGAGCTGCTGTGCATCCGTTGGTCGTTAAATGCGAGTCCGTCGAGAGCTCGCGCGTTAATTGTTGCTGCGAAAGTGCTTCACATACCTATAAGTGTGCATGGGCGAGCGTAAGTTTGCTGAGTGTCGCATGACGGTGCCACATTTTATCATTAACTCATCCAGAATGGGAGCTATTTATTTGCTGACGGTGACGTGACCGATGGCGGCCGTGTACCGCCCAGCTGCGCGTTCTACCGGCTGCAGCCGCGCCTGTGCCACTGTGACCCGATCGCCTGACGCTGCCGGGCCGAGTCGGGGATCCTGAGTCCGCACTGTGCTGTCGGCGGAGTCCGCTATGTGTCGCCGCTTGGTGTTGAGCGTAGCCGGAGCACCCGCCGCTAACGGCGAATCCTGACCGAGCGAAATAGACGTGTGACAATCTGCTTTTTAATGGATGTGATACTTCAGAGGACAGAGTGCAGACGACACCAAGAGCTGTCAAATTTAACCCACGCATGACGGGGGGGGGCTCTACAGAGCCCTCCTCACGTTTTTCGGCAATATCTTCTAAACCGTTTGACTGATCAACACGAAACTTGCGATACCTTCAGCGGCATCAATTTGACACCTTGTGTTGAAATTTCAACTTTCTAGCTACCATACTTTGGCCGGAAATGACGTCAGAGTGACGTCATGTCGACCGATTTTGATGCAAAATATTGAATTACGGCAAACGCTCTCAAGAGCTTAGTTTTAAAGCTAGATCCAATTTCTTTGTATCATTTGACTACAAATACACGTAGCTATCAAATTGTTCTCTCGAGTTTTCGAAATTTTGAAAATATTGAAAGATATGTTTTATAATTACAAAAAAATATAGGTATGTTTTGATTTTTTCAAAAAGTTTTTTGATTTTGCACAAAAACCGAAATATATGTAGGGGAAGCCGGGGAACCCCGGGCGCGGGGGAAGCCCGGCCGCGTATTTACAAATTGCAACCGAGCTCCTAGTGGCCGCCGGCCGCCGGCCGCTGACCAACATTCGCGTCATCAGGGAATGCTGCAACTAATTTATTGTTTCCACCTTTTTTCCCGGAGCGTTCTACCTAGTTTATATAGCCTTGTGCGAGCCGACATAGGGGAAAGTGGGGTAAGACGGTCAGGGTAGGTAAGACCGGGCACCCCTTCTGCAGACCAAGCCACTAGCGCTACGAGCGAGAAAAATTAGGACCAGAATTGCCTTTCTCACAACACACCACCATTGAAGTCTGGTGAATTTGTGTTCAGTCAATAATCTTTTATTTTGATTTCTTTAAAACACTCATTTCATTGAAATATCAATAATGTATTGTGCAAGCTTTTGTGTGCAGCACTGAGTTAAAAACTGGCAATCACTTGTGGTACACTCATATGTCACCACGTTCATTTACCGCCGATTTGCTTCGTCTGCATCAAATTGTCCACACACACAAAAAAATCGTGCTGAGCTTCTGACTTTGAGTTTGGGGTAAGACGGGCAACTATGAATCCAATGGGTCTGTAATGGTGAAAATATTTTTGTTGCTGTTGGAAAAAAAGAAGCATTTTAATAAGAATATGTTCGATTCCGATACACACAGACATGTTAGCAATATTCCTTCGGCACAGTTTATTCTCAAATAATGAATGTGAAAAACGGTTCTACATGGCTTTTGAACTAGGGCCTATATACGAGCTGCATACGCCTTCTGCACGAATCTCGTATACCTACTGCCATTTCCGTTACGTCCCAAATGATAACAATTCAAAAACATTGGCCTAAATACTGTATTTGTGTATTTGTGTATTTTTAAATGTGTATTTAGGCCAATGTTTTTGAATTGTTATCATTTGGGATGTAAGGCTTGAAAAAGACAGTTTGTCGAAACACATGTGTAGCCAATTCAAAAGAATATAATTCAAAATAGTTCCCATTGTTTATCCCATTACAATACTACTTGTCCTAAGCACTTAACATCGATGCTTGGACACCCCATGTAGGTTTATATAAATATCTCGAAAACGACGTTGTGGACTGTGGAGCGCCGCCGTTTTTAGCACACCCTTTCATGAATTTTTTCACACATGCTGCATAACTTTCAGACCCAGGTCACTCAAGGTTAGGTCACCAGGTTACGTCCAAGTGGCCTTACCTTAGGAAAAGTTATAATGCCCGTCATAGCTACACAGACTGAACAACCGGTCTAAAACGTTAGCGGCGATTACTAAGAGCACCATATAGGTATACGTAAAGTAACTTATCCATAGTAAAGTATCAATTATCCATAGTAAAGTAGCTTATCCATAGTACCTAGGTGTCAACCACCACTGATGGCGTCGTAGCATGTTACGAAGGCACTAAAACTATAACTTCTTAAATGTTAAACTGAATGCTAAATTCGAAATCAGCTCCAAAAACTATCCTAGAAACATGTAAAACTCGAAAAGGTGAACCAAGGTCATTAAAGGTCAGTGACCTTGACCTAATTTTCACGTGACCTTGACACCCACCATATTGCATGTGACCAACATCATATCACATGTTTGAACGCTTGAAACACGAAAAGACGCAGCATAGGCACTAGCCGCGCGTTATAACAACGCGCGGCTAGTGCGCGCCGACGTACGCCGAATCACGATTCCGGCCAAATATGGTCTCGTAATAAAAACTTAATATTAGATGCTGATTTACCGCTACTCAGTCAAGTTACAACCATTTCTTCTTGGCCGCGGTCACCGGTCCAGGCCACCACATTATCGTATTACACCGTGCTTGCTCAATGCTCAGTTCGTATTGTAAAAGCACTGCGGCACAGCATAGATGCAGGCGCTCTGCTACTGCCATCTATGGGTGAAAGATGAAGATAATGGTTATTGCGGTACAGTATCACTACAGGCGCAAACAACGTGCAAACAAAGATGCCTATGCTGCGCTACCGGGCGATGGTAGCGTAAATTTGCGTTGCTGGGTAGCTAAAAGTTTTGGAGCCCGAATTTGACAAAAGAATTTTTTGCCGTTTTAAAGACCGTATCAAACAATCTGCAGTTACTCTCAATTCTTGCTTTGCGATAATTGGTGATTTGTTTATCAAACCGTGGTACTTCCAAGCTATTACCAGCACATATAAAGCCGGGGGAAGCCCGGGCGCGGGGGAAGCCCGGCCACCCCGTTTCCGGCTAAATTATTCACAATAAAATGCTCAAGTGTTTGTTCTTTCAGCGTGGCAGTCAGGATAACGCTAGCAAAAAAGTTAACGCTAACAAAAATTGCATATTGTTAAAGTTATAGAGGAAAAATGATATCTTAAGGGTTTTTAGCTAAAAAGTGACATATATTGCACTGTTAGTGTTATAGGTACCATACAGTCCTAATATTTATACGAATGTTATGTAAGGACCGTTTAAAGGGACCCTCCCACCTTCAAAAAAGCTAATGAATTGGCATGAAAGTGATGTCGCTCGGTTCAGAAAGAGCAAAAACCAATATCTACCAAATTTCATCGAAAAATATTCACCGGTTTTCAAAATATTAGACTTTTACTTTTGTTTACTTTTTGGGATCTCCGCTGTTCCTAGCGACTTTATCTGAAAGTGCGGCATTTGTTGCGCGCAAAGCAGCATATACCACCGCGTGCTACCAAACGTTTTAGTAAAAGATTTAAAAATCGTTAGATATCTGCGCTGACGTCACACATTCAGAGGGGTATTCCTATGCATTAGCCCCTCTGAATCAAAATGCGGCTATTTTGAAATTCAATATTTCCGATTTAAGGCATTTCTCGATGTTGTGAGTGCCGAAACCGGTAATTGTGAGCCAGGGACCCCATTTTGGCTATCTCAACTCAAATCTAATGTTAAGGTGGGAGGGTCCCTTTAAGTGTTTGTAGTGAGAGGTGACGAGGCAGGCTGGCTTAAGTATGACATTTTTCGAACATCGCTGTTTTAAAATAAAAATAAGCACATTGGGGTAACCCCGGTCGAGTGGCCAAGCTTACCCCCAACCGAGAGCAATGCCACTAAACCACTGTTTTCCATGAGATAATAGGTACTGAGTAGGTTTGGTTTACACCTAGATCAAAGATTAATTTCGAAAATAAACATGTTATCATAGACAAGGCCTCTTCGGCCTGTCGCTCTATTCCAGTGCCTATAAATATCAGGTATGGATGAAGGGCGATTGCTTGCCTGATTTTTACTGTAAAATATCAAATATGGGAGATATCCGCTCCATTTTAGCGGTTTTTAGTTACCCTCCATCAGGCGCGGATCCAGGGGGGGCGACGGGGGCGACCGCCCCCCCCCCGACATCCGAAAAAGGCGCCCATAGCCCGCGGCAGAGAGGGCGCCCCGAGCAAAACAGAGGCGACACAGCAAAGGTTGAGCAGAAATAGGGCGCCTCCAGCAGAAGTTGGGCTCACCAAGCAGGAGAGCGACGCCCAATTGCCCATTCCCAGCAGATCAGAGTCGCCCCAGAAGCAGATGGGCGCCCCCAGCAGAAGAGGGGCGTCTTATTACAAGAATAAAAAGATGCCTTCTGTTCAAGAGGGGCACTCCTGGCAGGAGAGGTGTCCCCCTGAAGAGGAGCGACGCCCCAGCAAAAGTAGAGAGGCGCCCCCATTCCAAGAAGAAGAGGGGCGCCCTAACCGCAGATAGGCGCCCCAACAAAGAAAAAGAGAAGCCCCATAATAAAAAAATGGGTGCCACTGGCAGAAAAGGGGCGCCCCCGGCAGCGGAGGGGGCCCAGCAGGAGAAAGGGGCCTCCAGCAGGAGACGGGCGCCCCAGCGAAGGGGGGCGCCCCAGCAGAAGAGAGGAGCCCCCTGCAGGAGAGGGGCGCCCTCAGCAGAAGAGGGGCGCCCCAGCAGAAGAGAGGCGCCACAGCAAAAGTTGATCAGAGATGGGGAGCCTTCAGCAGAGGTTGGGCTCGCCAAGCAGGATAGGGGCGCCCCATTGACAATATCCGGCAGAAGACAGACGCCCCAGCAGCAGATGGGCGCCCCCGGTAGAAGAGGGGCGCCTCATTACAAGAAGAAAAGGAGTATATTCTGCACAAGAGGGGCGCCCCTGAGGCAGCGGAAGGGCAACCCCAGCAGAGGGGCTGTGCCCCAGTAAAAGGAGAGTGGTGCCCCGCTCCGAGCAGAAGAGGCCCGCCCAAGCAAAAAGAGGAGCCCCATAAGACGAAAAGGGATGCCTCTGGCAGGAGAGAGACGTCCCCGCAGTGGAAGGGCGCCCCCAGAAGAGGCATCTCTAGCAAAAGATAAGTGCCCCTGCAGGAGAGGGGCACCCCAGCAAAAGTTGGGCAGAAATGTGGCGCCCCCAGCAGAATTTGGGGTCGCCGAACAGGAGAGGGCCGCCCCATTCACAGTAGAAAAAGGGACTCCCCAGCAGCAAAGGCGTGCCCTAACAGAAAAGGTGCACTCCCAGTAGAAG